GCAAAGTTTAGAGATATGTGCTGCATGTCAGCACAGCCAGTCCTGGGTGACAGGTGGCTTCTCTGCATGCTGCGCTGGGAGCCCTTCCTTGGATGACCTCATGGTATCTGAGCCCTCAGTGTCCAGATACCATGCAGCCTGTTTAGCTCAGTGATCCCAAATGTCGTTTCTGTTGCTTGGTTAAAACACCATGACCAAAAGCAGCTTGGGGAAGAAAGGGTTTATTTCATCTTTCAGCTCTCAGGTTACACTCCACCACTGAGGGAAGTCAGGGCAGGAACTCAAGGAAGGAACCTGGAGGCGGTACCTGAAGCAGAGGCCATGGTGGGTGCTGCTTACTGGGTTTGTGCCTCATGGCTTGCTCAGCCTGCTTCTTTATACAAATCAGGACCACCTGCCCAGAGTTGGCATCACCTGAATCAATCATTAATCAAAATGCCAGGCAGATTTGTCTTATAAAGGTATTTTTCTCAATTTAAGAATTCTTTCCAAACAACCCTGTGTCAAGTTGGCAAACAAAACAAAACAAAAAAACCAACTAGGGAACATGCTAAGTTATCCAGGGAACAAAGAAACAGGTGCTAACAGGGTCACTTGTCCCAGAGGGGCCCAGCAAGCAGCAAGAGGCTAAGAAGGTGCTGACTACCCATGGGCTGGATGGCAACTGTTTCACAGAGTAGCAATGAGACAGGAAGAGGTGGGCACTGAGAGGTCTAAGGCAATGTCTATTCAGGTGGCCACACCTCGTGTCCCTGTGAGTCTACCAGGTCAGATGCAGCAGCAGAGGTGCTGGTTATCTCTGGTGGAGCTCGTGGACTACAGCAGTATCCAAACCTTAGACTGAGCTAGTGAAGTTACCAAGCAAACAGTCTTAAGGTTACTCTATTTGCCAGATAGAGGGAACATGGGGCAGGGCTTGGGACAGCCCCTCTGGAGTTCAGAGCCCTACTCGGCAGCCACAGGATTTGCTAGGATTAGGTAAGGAACCAGACTTCTATTGCCTGACTGCCCCCATTGAAATGCTAAGGATCTTGGGCTTGTGCTCCTGACTCAGGTAGACACCCAATAAGAACATTGTGGAAGATGGATATGGAGGCAGATAGGTAATGTCACATAGGAGGCAGAGATAGAGGGAGAGTTCCAGAGCAGCCTGGGCTACAGAGAAAAACAAAATGGAAAGGGTGTTATGACTGAATACACCAAACCAGAATCAGCACTGAGCACAAGAAATGTGGCCACTATTTCCAGCTATTTTCTTTGGCTGTGAGGCGTCTCCATGATGGAAGAGGATGTAATGGACAGCCACTGGGAGGCAGATGAGTGGCATCTGTGTCTCTCAGGTGACTGGTCAGCTTCTTTGGGAAATGTGTAAGGAGATGAGCACCCTTGGCTGCTGGTCTGGGGCTGTGCCCCTGCCTCTGGAAGCCACAATCCTGCCCCCCCCCCCCTCTGGTAACACACACATTGCATTGCTCCTTCTGGGCGGCACTTCCATTCTCTGTGACTCCTTTGCTGCAGCTGAAGGAAGTCATTATTTATCCCAAGACAGGGACAACTTTCATGGAGACCTCATGGCTCAGCCAACATGGACGATGCAATTTAAAATGACTCCTAAAAGGAAACAGAGAAAGAAAACAGCTTAAGTTGACAGAACAGGCATCTGGGCTCTGGGCAGAAACCACAGGGCCCCCATCATGCAGACCATGTACTGAGTCCAGGGTACCCAGAGTGTATGTATAGACACAGAACTGTCGTCCTTCCATGCCACATTCCGTGTGCTGTGTCTTTTCCTGGGGGGACATGAACAAACATCTCTCCACCCCACACTGGACACAGATGATAGGAAAAGAAACCATCTCACCCAAGTCTGGCTTAGTGAATCAATGACTTCACTGGGGTTACTTGCTGGGGCGCTGGTGACTCAAAAGCATCTGAGATCACCCATGCCAGCACCGGCATCTTTCATGAAAACTGCCCACCTACCTGGAGCTCCCCATCCAACCTGTAGGCAGTGCCACTGGTGAGTGCTTTCTCTCCCTGCTAATTGATACTGCTTTTTGTAGCTTTGGGGAGGAACCTAGAGTCTTGGGCCAGAGTCCCATGAGCCTCCTTCCTCATGAGCAGGAGAAGATGTTCCAATCTGGAGGAAGCAGCTGTCCAACCATCAGCACATGGACAGAAGAGCCCCAGGAAACCCATGGTAGCTGTTCTCTAGCCATCACCTCCAGATCTGTGAGAAGGAAGGGGCAGGGAAGGTTCAGCAGAGCGGTGAGATGAGCTTCAGTGCTAGGCTTCCTGAGGTAACCATAGTGACCTACACAGGCTCAGAGAGCATCTTCAAACGTGCTGGGAAATGGCGACTGAAGAGGGACGACTGGAACGCTCCACAGGACAGTGCTGCCCAGTGCTGCTGGGCTATCACAGCACGGTTTGGGCACGAGCAAGAACTGAACTACCCCACTCACAGGTGGGCTCCCCAGTTTTCCAACAACCAACCTACTCCCACCCCATGCTTCTTTGACCAGGTCTTTTTTCATAGCCCTTGCTGCCTGGGACTCAAATCTACCTACACAGATCTCCTGTGTGCTCTCCTGAGTGCTGGGGTTAAAGTTCAGGCTCCACTGAAACTTCTAAGGAGGCCATTGAAGCACTGTTTAGAGACCTTGTGAACCACACCCTGCAACCCCCATAAACAGATATGTTGTCAGATTTTCTTTGTATTACCAGTTCCCAAATAACAACACAGAGACTTTTTATTAATTATGAAAGCCTGGTCTTATCTTAGGCTTGTTCTCAACTAACTCTTATAACTTCAACTAACCCATTTATATTAATCTACATTCTGCCATATGGCTCATTCATTACCTCTCCTTCATACTGTATGTCTGACTCCCTGAGTCTCAGTGGCTTAATCCCACAAGCCTCAGATTCTTCCCCAGTCCCCCCTCTCCCTGGAGGTCCCACCTTAGGCAGAGACACATCTTCACAGTGTACAGTGGAAAGATTATTCCGCCACAGGGGTAACTGTGACTTTCTGTCTAGTTCTTCACTCCTGCCTAGGTCACCTGGTATGGAGAGCTGCAATATTAGCTGCTTTTCTCACCACTGTGACCAAACATCTGAACAGAAGCAACGTAAGATAGGAAAGGTTTATTTGGCTTATGGTTTGAGGACACAGAGTTCACTATGGTGAGGTGGCAAGTCACACCACATCTAGTCAGGAAGGAGAGTGGGGAGAACAGAAACTGAGCTGTGAACTCGAGGCCCACCCCAGGGTTCCACTTCTGCCAGAATCTCTCTCCTAAAGGGTCCACAACCTTCCCAACGTAACACCATCCGGAACCAAGTGTTCAGAGACACAGGCTGATGGGGACATTCTCACTGGAACTGTAACGGGCATGGTTCTGTTTCTCCTTGCCCCACACACACACAAGAAGCTCTGACATCTCCAAAAGGAGAAAACTCTCCCTTTTGTGTGCCCCTTCCTCTCTCCTCTCCCTCCCTCATGAATTCTGGAAAGGGGAGGGGGTGCTGAGGCCTCCACTTATTACCTTTGCCTTGGGCTTTGCCTAATTTCAGAGGTTCAAAGCTACAGGGCCTGGTACTTAGGGACTTAGCAGGTCCCTTGGGGGAGTCTGGGAGAACGATGAGCAATGTATCTGGTTGGTACTCTAGCAAGGACTTTCTCCATAGGGAGTGAAGAGGTCTGTGGCAGTGATCAAGGACTGCTTTGGTGACCTGGGTCAGACTACTCATTAGGTTCACAAGTTTCTGCCTATGTGGACCCAGTTGGCCCACCTTGTCTCTGCTGACTCCAGGATAGCCAGCCCTGTCACAGAGCTCTGCTGATTAGAATCTGCTGAAGGTGGCTCCCAATTCACAGCCTATTACAGCAAACATTCCCTCCTGTCCTTGGCGACTATACACATGGCAGCTTATATCCCCATAGCATTTAGAGATTGCAAGCTGGGGGTGCAGTTGCTGTGGTAACTTCTCAGGGCTTCAGTTGGAGCCATACCTTTCACAGGCATACAGAGAGGACAAACCACGAAGCTCTCTGAGGATACTGGGTTTCCTTGGCAACTGCCTCCCTCAATGTGGGGCAAAAGGCACATCCTCCCAACCAACCAGCAGCAGGCCACATTCCCATCTCCCAACCATTTCCTCTTCCAGTTGAGTTTCTTAGCACCCCATGTACGGACATCTTTTGGACTGTTTAGCCAACTTGCCACCGATCTAATTGAGCCTTCTCTGGCCCTGGAGCTGTGACACCAAGCCATAGTTCTTGCTACAAATATTTCACCTGTACTTATCATCCCACATGTGCCCCCAGCTTGGGGACAGCAGGCTGTACTATGGCACAGACACATCTGGCCCTGGTGTGGTAAGCGAGGTGTGACATCTAGTCACAGAGAAGGGATCCAGAGCGGAGTTGGGGCTCTAAGAACAGCAGGGTTGGGCAGTGCAGCACTGGGTGCTGTGGCTCTTCCAGTACAGGGTACTTCTGGAGAAGAATCCTAGCTTCATCCTCACCTCTGCAGACTGGTTTCCACCAATCAACATTCCGTCAGAGGCTGCTCACCAGCCAGCCACACACTGAAAGAGGCTTTGGGCACTCGCTCGCTCCTAAGTAAGGTCTCGTTACTCCACGTCCTGCAAACCTGTGCTTGTGCCCTGGGCACTACACTCCGGCTTGTGGCCTGTCTCAGCTTGTTTCCTTTGCCTCTTGCAGGTTCACTAGGAATCAGAGGCTAAAACCTCCTTCCCTGACGACCCACTCCACCACCCTCTGGAAGCCCAGTTTCATCCTTTCCTCAGCCTTGGATGTCAGGAGTTCCTCAACATTTCTGGGGCAAGAGCCAAGGGGATGTGGCAGACAGCCACTGTGAGACTGACAGCCTCCCAAGGCCAAGCCCAGACTGCCTGCTTGAAGATCTGACTGTTCTCATCCTAAGGAGACAACACAGGGACATCTCCATGGAAAGTTCTCACCTTGAGTCTTCAGGTTGGTAACGGGAAATTTATTGTCAAATATGTCCAGGCTGGCCATACTACCAGACTAAGCCATGACTCTTACCAAGCTACAGGTGCCAGGTGTCTATCATCAGGTTCTGTCATCTGAGTGACAGGTCATGAAAGGAACAGAGAACTTTATGAAGAAACTGGATTCCATGGACCTCTGGCCATAATATGTTGTCCTCAGAGGCCCCTGAGGGCCCTCCACAGGGCTGGGTCAAGACTGTGTTAATGCAGTAGTCATGGGCAGGGGTAGAGTGACCAGATGCTGATACGCTGGTCCTTAGACCCTGCAGCAAGCAAGCCATCAGGGGCGAAGGCCACACAGTACACAGAAGCACTGTGAAAGGTCAAAACAGCCAGTGGCTTCATTGTCCTCCAGTTAAACACACGGATGCGATGGTCCCAGCCCGCTGTGGCTAAGATCTTATGGTCTGGCCGAATGGTAACTTCAGCAATTCCAGGATTGGTGAGCTCATGAGTCTTGTACACCTATAAGCAAGCAGAGTGAGAAGAATTTGCTCTTGGGTCTGCTGCAGTCCCTGGCCACAAATATTCCTTCCCTGGCCCTACTCTGCCACAGGCTCTTGTCCATCTGGCCTCCTCCTCAACCCCATGGTCATAGCAGGGGCTTCCCTAAGCATATACAGGGCCACACAAAGCTATGTTGTGTCCCTCCCCAGGCTGCTTAGACAACTCTAGCCCTGGAGGAACCTGGGAAGCCAAGTCCTGGGTTCTCAGTGTGGAGGAACCTCCACTGAAATTTGTGACACATGGGAGATACAAATTCCATCAACAATAACACCAAGAGTGAAATGAGATCTGGAAACATGGTAGGGGTCCCTGGACTGCCCAGAGAAGAGGCTGGCAAAGCAGACAGCCTTGAATGTGTCTCTCAAGAATTCAGTCAGAAAAAAATTCACCCATTAATGCTACCTAAGGTGGGGTATTTGGCAGGAACTGGAGCTATGTGAAATGATGAGACCTGAGCTGGCAGCCTGTTCTGTCTTGTCTAGGGATAGTCCCCATGTTGTGACTGGCACTCAGCAGATGCAGGTGTTGAGGGTCCTGGACTTCAATACCACTAGTCAAATAAATTTCAATTTTTAAATTTCTATTCTACGTATTTGAGTGTTTTGCCTGTACATATATCTGTGCACTATGTCTGTGTAGGGCCCACTGAGGCCAGAAGAGGGCATCGAATCTCCTGAGATTGGAGGAACAGACAGTTGCAGAGCTCTCATTCATGTTGGTGCTGATAATCGAACTTGGGTCCTCTGCAAGAACAGCTAGTATTCTTAATCACTGGGCCACCTGTCTGGCCCTAAACTTTTATTCTTTAGACACTACCTAGGCTTAGCAGTCTTAGGCATTTTGGTGTAATAGAAAGTGGAATAAGGTGCAGGGAGAGGGAAACAGCATGGAGGAGGGACAAGGAATTCAGATGTGCTCTTCATTGGCTATGGAACCCTCATTTCCCTGGCTTTCTGTCTGTCAATGTGGCCTGTTCCTCTATATATTCTCTGCAGTGCCATTCACCACTGTGCCCTTGCCAAACGCAAGAACAATGCTGTCACCCAAACTTTAAACTCCTAGAACTTCAAGCTAAATAATAATAATAAAAAAAAATCCCTTTATGAAGTTAGCCTGCCTCAGGTTCTTTGTTATAGTAATGAAGGCAGCCCTCTTAGTTACATAGGCCTATCCTATACACAGAAGGCACTTGACAGCTCTGTTCCCATGAGTGGCCCGCCTCTGAGCCACAAGCTTTCTGTTAGTCCTTTGTCTTCAGTGCCTTCTAGAAGAACCATATCACCCTTTGCAGACAATGACTCATCTCCACAAAGATGACAAGGAGGCTGGGCACAGTGGCCCATGCCTTTAACCCTAGTACTCTGGAGGAAGAGGGACAGGTGGTCTCTGAGTTTGAAGCCAGGCTAGTCTACATAGAGCATTCCATACCAGCAAGGGCTACATATTGAGATTTTGCTTTAAAGAAGGAAGGAAGAAGGGAGAGGGAGAGCATGAAGGAAGGGGAAGGAAGGAGATACAAGGATAAATTGAAACAGGAAAAATGAATAGGAGTATCCATATAAGCCAGTAGAAATGGTCACAGAGCAATTTAGCTACAAAGTAACAAAACAGAACCTGATGAAATAGATTGTTTTTAAACCAATCACTGTGGGACTTGGCAGGGCTTAGGATGGAGGAAGAAAACAATGATAAAGGGGATGAGCACCAATGGAGGCCTTGAATGAGGTAGGATGGAGTTTGGGAGCACAGGAAGATTAGGAAATAAGCTAAGTGAGAATAAAACAGTTACAATGGACCAGAGAAAAAACATGGGGTGCAACAGACAGCAATTTCAATTTGTTGAAATAGAAGTTTTAGGATCTAAATCCAAAGAAAGACTGTAAGAGCATTCAATAGTAAGATATGCTCTAAAATTATTAGAACTAAGAGTGAAGAGGGACCTTCCAATTAGTCAGGAAAAAAAAAAAATCACATGGCAGGTGAGGGTACAGTAGAAGCTGTCACCAGAAAGTTCCAGTGCTACATGTGTGCCAGCAGAGAATGGGGCAATGCTCATACAGGCAGAAGGGGAGCATAGTTTTATATCCAGCCAAACTGTCACTCAAGTGTGAAAACAGTAGACAAACATTTTTGAACATGTAAGAGCTGAAAGAATATTGCTCCTGTAAGTCCTCCTGGAAGAACAAGAAGATTAACTCCAGCCTCGAAGGAGATGGCTAGAGAACTACGGTGAACGGTCTGGCAGACAGCACTGAGTCTACTTACCTACAGGATTATGCACAAGACATGGGGATTATGGCTTGGAGAACCAGTTATGTAACTAACAGAAGCATGGGCGGGTGGTGAGGAAGATGGGGTGTTGCTGAGAGCTTGCTCACTGTTGAACCTCATATCTGAGATGACCTGACCCCCACCATAAATGATGGCAACTCAGCACATTTTCCTCTCCCCTCCCACCTGAGAAGCGAGGCCTTGATTTTCTGTTATTTGCTTTACATATCTGTGTATGATAATACCAAAATACCAAAGCAGTGAAAATTTAAGTATTCTCTGGTTTAAATGATTAAATTCCATCCAAAGTTAAATCTAAATCTGAGGTATGTAGAAAGGGACTTTGGAGGGTCAAACAGCAGATAAGCCCGAGAGAAGCTGGGGACATTTGGGTTCCAAATCCAAGGCAGTAAGTAAGGTAAAAACTTGGAGCCTAACCCTGGTCAAAGGTATAGTGTGACTGTGTTCAGCAAGCAGGCTCATCTTTCATAAAGTGGTTTCGACAAAAAGGTCTGAGGCCTTTTTGCTGGAAAGGTCCATGAAGGTGAACAAAACACACAAGGTAATTGTTGACAGGCCCTGGCATTTTCTGTCTGGGGACAATATCTAGCCAGAATATAATAGTCACATTAAGTTGAGGAGACAGATGAAATCTTGGACAGCTAGAAGGCTGTGAGGATAAAGGTGGTGGAATGAAGGGAGATGCGGTGTGGTTTCCCTAGGAGACCTTGTTTGTGGTCTAGGCTCTGTATGTTCACAGCAGATGACAAGCTTAGCAGAGGGAGGCTGCTGCAGGGCGAGAGGTCAACAGTGAGAGCTAAAGGCTGGGCACCAGACCCCCATCAGGAATAATGATCTAACAATGTAAAATACCAGGGCTGACATGGTCTCAGTGGGGCTGGCATTGTAGTGCCACCACAACGAAAGCAGCTGATCAGATGGCTTTTCCACAAACCTTCCCCAACAATACATGAAGCTGCGCCCATGAAGCCAGCCATTAAACCCACTGTTAGAGGCAAATGCACACCAGCACAAAACAACAGAATTCAATATCTTCGTCATGTACCATTTACAATGTCCAGCACATCAACAGTAATTACTAGACACACAGAAAGGCAAAATATGTGTTCCACAATCAAGGGAAAATCCAGTCAGTACAAACTGATCCCCAAAAGATACAGGTACCAAACAGACCAAATAAAGACATCTATGAAAGGAAAAGGGCCATGCAGATGGCACCAAGCTTAAAGGCCCGAGAATGAACCTTCAGGAACCACAGAAAAACCCAGGAAGGCAATGGCTTGGCCCACCTGTAAACCCCACATTTGGGAGGCAGAGACAAGAGGATCTTGGGGCCAGCTAACAAGCTAGACTAGTTGGAGCTGGAGAACTCTGGGTTCAGCAATAGACCTTGCCTTGATAAACGCAGTAGAGAATTACCAAGGAAGACAATGTCAACTTTAGGGTTCCATACACATGTACATGCTCATATATGAACACACACGTATCCTTACATGTGAACATGCATATACAAACACATGTATACTACACATACATAAGAATTAAAGAAAATACATTAAAATAATTATAAAATTATTTATGTGAATTACTCAGACAGAAATTATTAGTAAACAGTAAAACTTATAAAAAGAACAGAAAATATAACTGAGACTATCAGTTAGAATAAATGAACAGGACTAGAAATTGTTTCATAAAAAAGTGAACTGGGCCAGTGAGCCAGTTCAGAAGACAAAAGGGCCTGCTACGAAACCTGACAACCTGACTGTGATCCTTGGGACCCATAGGGCAAGGAAAAACTATTCTTGCAAGCTGTCCTCTGACTTCTGCATGTTCACTGTGCACACACACAGCACACAAACACACAAAATAAACAGATACCGTCTTCTTTCAGATAAAGGGGTTGAACTCTGAGCCCACAGGGAAAGTGCCAGAGCTGGCAGCTGTTGAAGAATTCCCAACACTGTGTGTGAGTGTGTATGCACATATGCAAGTCTGTGGTGGGACAAGGGATGTTCAGTGGGAAGAGTGTACTGGCTGCTCCTGAGCACCCACGTGGGAGCTCACAGCCACCTGTAACTCCAGCTCCAGACACCTATGCCTTCTTCTGGCTACACAGGCACTTGTGTACATGGAATACATTCATACACAATACAGAAACAAAAACTAAACAACAAATCTTAAAAAAACATACAGTAGTTTAAAAAAACTGTTTTAAGCAAAATTAATATAAAAGGGTGATATATGCAGAAGCCCAGGAATACTCTGGCAGGCAACATGTCTCAGAACATACCCACATATCCACTATCACACACACACACACACACACACACACCTATGTTACGAGGAAGCAAGCATCTGAAATGCTTACAGAACTCATAGTACTTCAAAGATTACAAAGCAAAACTGGCAGAAATAAAGGTGGACCAGGTATAGCAGGCCAGGGTTCTAAGACCCTTCCTCAGGAACTGGCAGAAAACTAGACTGCGGCCTGAATCAGTAAGGACTTGAACTGTAGATTGGCTCACACGACTTATGTCTAACTGACATAAAACTGCCCAATAGTCTGTACTGCACCTGTCTTCTCTAGGTATGTGAGGTCTAGTCTCATAGACAATGCCACACACAAGCCCAAATCAAGCCATACATTCATAAACACTGAGACAGAC